GGCAATTTGCTCCTGACATTCATGACAAGCTTCAACAGCTAGAAGGCCTTTAGAGGTACTCCTTACAGGATTTAATAAAAAAAGCTAAAAAAATTTACAATAAGCGTGAGACATTAAAAGAGAAAGAAGATAGAATTAGAAAAAAACAGGAAGCCAGAGAAGATAAGAGAGAGAAGAAGAAAAATAAAGAGTTAAGTCAAATTTTGGCCACAGTAGTCCAGGGAACAGGGCCAGGTAGGGACCTGGGAGACAAAAGAAGACCTCAAGTAGATAAAGACCAGTGTGCCTATTGCAAAGAGAGAGGACATTGGGCTCGAGAATGTCTGAAGAAGCTAAACAAACTTCAAAAGAAGACAACCCCAGTCCTGACTCTAGGGGACTAGGGGAGTCGGAGCCAGGAGCTTCCCCCTGAGCTCAGGGTAACTTTAAAGATAGGGGGGCAATTGACTACCTTCATGGTAGACACAGGAGCTCAACACTCAGTTTTGACAACAACCAAGGGACCCATGAGTTCCAGAACAGCCTGGGTCCAAGGGGCTACTGGAGGAAAGACATATAGGTGGACCACAGAAAGAAAAGTGGACCTCAGTACAGGATAGGCTTCCCACTCGTTCCTGTTGGTCCCTGACTGCCCCTATCCCCTTCTTGGGAGAGATTTACTCTCTAAGCTGGGAGCCCACATCTACTTCACTAAAAAGGGAGCTACTGTAAAAGGAAAAGATGGAGCTCCACTACAGGTATTAACCTTGCGGCTGGAAGATGAACATCTGTTATATGAGGGACCGATAGTAGGAATTCCTGGTATATCTGATTGGCTAAGTAAAATCCCCTCAGCATGGGCCGAGACAGGAGGCCCGGGATTAGCATGCAACCAACCTCCAATAGTGATTACATTAAAACCATCTGCAACTCCGGTTTCAATCAAACAATACCCTATGAACAAAGAGGCCCAAGAGGGAATCAGGCCCCACATCCAAAGACTTTTACGAATGGGCATACTTCACCCTTGCCAATCCCCTTGGAACACCCTGCTGCTCCCCGTGAAAAAGCCAGGGACAGATGATTATTGACCAGTTCAAGACTTAAGAGAAGTCAATCAGAAGATAGAAGATATCCATCCCACTGTTCCTAATCCCTATAATCTCCTGAGTTCTTTACCTCCCAGTCACAGGTGGTATACTGTACTTGACCTGGAGGATGCGTTCTTCTGCCTAAGGCTGAGCCCGGTTAGCCAGCCCATCTTTGCTTTTGAATGAAAGGACCCTGAAGCTGGAATATCGGGACAACTAACCTGGATGAGACTTCCCCAAGGATTCAAGAACTCCCCTACTCTGTTTGATGAAGCTCTACATCGTGACCTGTCTGACTTTCGGAGACACATGGGACCAGAGAAGACCTCACCGACCAGCCCCTAACAGATACAGATGCCACCTGGTGTACGGATGGGAGCAGCTTTCTGCGAAACGGTGAACATGAGGCGGGAGCAGCGGTGGTCAATGGGGAGAAAATAATTTGGGCCCAAGCCCTGCTGGCCGGAACTTCAGCCCAACGGGCTGAATTAGAAGCCCTAACCCAGGCCCTAAAAATTGGCAAAGGATAGAAAGGTCAACATTTACACTGACAGCCGCTATGCATTCGCCATGGCTCACGTACATGGAGAAATTTACTGGAGGCGGGGGCTTCTCACCTCAGCTGGTAAGGACATTAAGAACAAAGAAAAAATAGTGGCCCTTCTACAAGCCTTGTACTTGCCTAAAAAGGTCAGCATTATCCATTT